CATGTTCATCAATGTGGCAGTCTGAACAGGATTCAGAATCTGGGGTGTTCATAGCATTTGATCTGAAAATGTGCCATGACAGTTTGGGGAAGAGAAATTCCTGCCAAATGAGTTTAAAAGAATAAAAAAAATGTCCTTTGGAAATTTAGAAAAATATTTAACATATTCTTAATCTGTGCTCTTTTATAAAACAATGGCCTGAAATTTAGGTGGAATTTACTAAATAAATGAGAGCAAGGCTAAGAGTTAATCACTGAATAATAACTCTCCCCGCACCACAGTCACTGCTTCGGTGGCAAGCCGGAGGCCACCTGAAAGGCAGGGCAAGTAGAGTCTGCACCTGCACATTGCCCCATGAGTGAGAGGCAAGGTTGGAGGGCCTATTCCACAGCTCACTGCCAGGCAGTGCAGGGTGCGTGGGGAGCTCTCGGGAACCACCGCGCACCCTCGCCTCCTCTGTGTCATTTCCAGTCACCTGCCCTGGATGTGGAGTGAGGAATACCAGGCTTAGCTATTGGTACTTAGCTGTTGGACCCTGAGGTCCCTGCCAGGGACAGAGCTACTGGGGCCTGAGTCATTGGCTCCTTGGTTGGTAATCAGGTCACTGAGGACCCTATAACAGGTGAGTGCATGGTTATTCCCTGTGTCCCACGATAGGTAAGAGTGTGTGTTTTGTGTGTGTGCACGTGTGAGCACATGCATGCACAAGCCCACTTACACGTGTGTGTTTATGTAGCTGCAGTAGCTCATACACTTTCCAGTGCCAGCCAAGCAGCACACACAGCTTCCACGGTCCTCCAGAGCCCGGGACACTTGCACTGGGAGAGTGTGAGTTTTGAATACTAATTACTATGTATTAACAAGATATGATCTCAAATTCTCAAATATACGTGCTAACCACGGAGATGGCACATTCCAGAACTTCCTCTGAGCTCCAGTTTCCTCAGTGTCTGCCTCCTAGGACAATGTGGGGATGAATGGCTGCTGATGAGAAATGCGCCCCTTCCTTTATGAAGTGAGAGGCTGCCGCAAGACCCTGGACTTCAGCACAGCACCACGATTCCACATTCCGCTGTTACACATAATTACCTGTCCATCTAGAATAACGTACACTTCTTTTTCTAAACTCAGAAGTTGTACATTTGAACATGGATGGCACAGGAACAAGAGTGAGCTCTTATTAATTTAGCTTTACACTGGGGATGTGGAACAACTTGATAGCTAAAGCTATATTTTGCTTTTTAGACTTCTTGTAATTTTTAGGGAATCAAATATTTAGGACAGGAATTGACAAATTACTTTGAATTACACTAGGCTAAAATGGAATCTTTTGGAAAGTGATTCACATTTGATGTCCAATAGTGTATTGTTGGAATATTGTTTATTTTAAATGGCAATGTTGGGGGGGGGGCAGGTCCTGGCAGAAGTCGGTTTTTTAAGGCTTACTTTTTGATTACTCAAGAAAGCACAAGTCTGCATTTTCTGACCATGAGACCAGTTTTAGATACACTGTATCAATTCTAATCCCTAAGCTCCTTTACCCCTCAGGATAGGGTGAATCCTTTCCACTGTTGTAGTCATCACACTTACCACAGGGGACGGCTCTGGCCGCAGGGCTGGAGAGGGTGTATAAAGAAGTTAACCATCAAATCATAAGCACCACATGGCTGTTACACCATTATCTGGCATACCTCAGTGTTTTCCACTTCGTCAGAGTTTCATACTCTATCGCCTATTACAATATCCCTATTTTCAAAAGGTAATGCCCTTTAAAACACCTTACTCCCATCATCTGAAATGGTAGCGGCCCCATCATGCAGAGTAGCTGACGTCACAAGTTTGCAGAAAGGGTGAGCGGTCAGTGAAGACGAGTGAGGGTTGCAAAGGTTATAAAGTTGGCTCTGGCTGGCCAGCAGGCACCTCCCTGTGGAGTTGAGCCTCTGTGACAGCCGCCTGATGGGACAGACTTGTGGGGTGTCGGCTTCATCCATTAGGATTGAGCTAGCAGCACTCCAGAGTAAGGTTTTGCCAGTCACCTCAACAGGCAGCTTTCGAAGTGTCCCCCAAGCTGTGTTTGCCCATTATCCTAATAGTTTAAGTTTATTGTGGAGAAAAGAGGGAGGGTCTGTGGTCAGAGAAATTCGGAAAACACTGGTTTAGCCAAGATTCAAAAGGTCTGTTTCCGGTAGGTCACTCCGAGCCATTACTTAGCATTGCGTCCAACAAGCATCATTCAGCAGCTGCACTGTGCACGTGGTTCTCATAATCACTGGGCTGCGGCTCTTGGAAAGAAAATCGTGTGTGTGTGAGTGTTCACATGTGAATGTACAGAATCTACTAAGTCTTAAGAAATAGGAACACTCGGGAAACTGTCCTTTGAAAGAGAAAAGAAAGGTGAAGCCTGAAGGCAGACTGCGTCTCTGCTGCTGATAACAGCCGCTCTCAGAAATGGGGGGCGTAGTGGGGGGTCAGGAAAACATTAATTTTTCCCTACCCAAAGTGTTACATGAACAGTTTCCAATTTTTTATACACATTTTCTAAGAAAAAGTTGAATGAAGAACATTTTTAACATGGCCAGCTCATTAAAAAACACATTGCTTTTCTGGAGACAAGTGCTCTCTGGGGAGGTGCTCTGGGGTGAGGCTGAAGTCTTGGGCCAGTTCTCCTGCAGGTTTCTCATAGTTCTGGAACGTTTGGGTTTGCTCCTGCTAAGACGTCCAACCCGTCAGTGGTTGCTCCAACCCACTCTATGTGATATCACGCTGTGAATCGAAATCCCAGGGAGCTGTAGCCTGTTTCCGAGTGGTCACTTTTCTGTTGTCCTATGAGAGCCAACCATAGCAGATGAGTAGCAAAACAATGATTTTGAGCAATAGTAAGTTCTTTTTTAAATAAATAAATAAATCTTTATGTCAAAACTCTAACTGTATCTCTGCAACGGTATCACAACCCAGCTTTCTTTCTGCCTTCTTTATTGCAGTTGCATATGGGGCTGATGACTTTAGGGATTTTCATGCAATAATTCCCAAATCTTTCTCTCGTAAGTATACACTTTGCTTCTAGAGAATGGAAATATGTGTTTATTTTGTACTCAGTTTCCATCGTGTAAATATTGTGAGTGCATGTTACTTCATCAACATTTTCCTTTATGCTTGAAAAAAGGAGATAAATATCTACCATTCCATTCATTAAATATCTACCATTCCATTCATTAAATATCTACCATTGGGGACATCATTTACATAATGAAGTACAAAAGGAAGGTTCAGACAGTGACGAGGGGCGTGGCAGTAGAGTAACACTAAGGGGAGGCAAAGGAACGGTACTAATGGAATCGTTACTCTGCTGATGCTGTTGTTCCTGGCATGATTGTCTCCTTTTTATTGAGTGGGAGGATAAATGGCCATACTTTCTGTCACTGTCAAACAACACACAGTTTCAAGATAATTTTTACAGTTCTGTGGGACAGAGGGAGAGACACATGCTCTCCATGTCTTGCTCTGGGGCATTAACACCAGAACGGACAAGGGAAGACTCACAGGCTTCTAGACTGTTATTCTCTGGTGCTCAGTGCTTGAGCAGACCTACTGTTAATACTTGCCGCAGGTGGGACCTTCTCTGATCGGAACTGTTAAACCAAAAACAGATGTTAATTTCACTTTTCTTTTTTAGGTATTGAGAGCTGATAAATGATAAATTTATTTGGGCAACACCCTCAAAGGAGTAGTCCTTTAAAGAACAAAAGAGGGCTTTTTTAAAAATATACAGAGAGCTGAATGTTTAAAGGCATACAAGTTGTTAGCCCCCTTAGGACCTAGGTCTTCAAACCAGTATTAGTAAATTCTCTAATATTATAAAACAACATCAGAACAGTTTGTGTTTGTTAAGAGTGTGACAATTATGAAGACAGACTCTAATTTAAAAGACATCAATAACAGTTTAGGTTTCTGACATCCTGATTATCAAAAACTACCTGATATCTAAGGGATTTAGCAGTACAGATATACCCTTTTTCCCACAAACCAGACTGACTAATATTCCAGTATGTAACATTCATAGGAATCTTTCCCTCACTGATACTTGTTTGATAATAGCTTAACATTTATTTCTGTGAGATACGTACATATGTATATGTGAATGTTGATATATGTGTACATGTATATGTCTGTGCTTACCTGACCATAGAAAAACATAAGGTACTAGTACAGAGAAATGATACTAATTTTGAGATGAATAATCATATTGTTGAAATGATTTTAATTTCAAATTAATATGAGGGTACAAACGTTTAGGTTACATTATTTTAACTTCCAAGGTAGAGTTCAAGTTGTAGTGAGACCTTCACCCGGGGGTGTGCTGAACACCCTCATATCCTGCACTTTAAGTGCGATCCGGCCAATTGCCCTCCCTCCTCCTGACAAGTGTCCTCTACCCTCCCCCTCCTCATTGAAATATTTTGAAAAGTTAAATGCACTTAAGAGTAAGATAATGTATTCTAAGACATGTTTCTGTTGAGAAGGGTGTACACTCAAGAATATTGTAATGTTGAAGCAGATCCTTTGGTAATTAAAACGTTTAGTCTGTAAAAATCGCTGCATATTAAAACATTGTATTTGGAGTCTTTAAAACATAATATTTATATTTTGGTACAATTTGTGTATATATTTATAAAAATACGTTGATGAGGTATTAGTGTCTCTCTTGTTCAATTCCCCCCAGTATTCAAACTGCAAATCTCCTGTTCACTGTAATGGCCAGTAGCCCTTAAAGACCACCCCACCCAAACATCAACCAAACTGTTCTTGGCCAATATCGCCACCTTGTGGTCATGATGGAGAATTGCCCTCTTTGCCCCTCAGTACCCTTCTTGAAAATTAAAAACATAGACTTTTTGACCACCTCTATCTTCTTTATGCCAGTTTGTGTCCCTGTTTACCTGAGGAAAATATCAATATGCTTGTAACTTGTTAATTTTTATACTTTCTCTTTTCTGTCTTTTGACTTTCTTTTCTCTCCTTGACTTTTTTCCATCTGAAGGCCTTAAACGTCAAATGAGGAGAATAGTATGTCTAATCATGCACCTTAACAAGAAAAAGTTTGACATTTTAAATGCTATTAAATTATAATAAATGGTTCTATTAACCTTTAAGATGCTTAAAAGTTTCATAAGTCTCTTTTGGAGGCAACACAAAACATCACTATAAATTTCCTCTTCATCTCAAATTTTAATTTTTACTTGCTAGTCACAGGTGTTATAGGCTATTCCTTTCTCCTATTTTTAATTTAAAATACTAAATATTTCAAACTCTCATGGCCCAAAATCATACTGGAGTGATATTTTAGACTATCTTTTTGATGGCGAAATGCATTCTGAGTATCAAACATTGACTTTTCCAGTAAATTTGAAGACATATTCTAAAAAGGAAAAGGAAATGATGCAGAAACACACCCCATCTATAAGGTGGGGACTGCCAGTGTGCATTACACCTGTGCATTAAACAATGATTAATTATTTGTGAGTGCATGTGATTCTTGGCAGCAAAGTCAGGCCTCTGAGTTCCTTGGATTCTCCAGATTCTTCAATTCTGAATTTCTTTGTAAAGTATGCCTTATGTTCAAGGGCATGGGGTCTCTCTTAGGACTGTTGGGTAACTAGAAACACAAAAGTCCTCTAAGATACGACAATAAGATTTTAATTTTCCCTTTTTTTAGGTACCATCTGGGAAGGAAAGTAGCTTTTAACTAGGGATCTTAAAACATCCACTCTTAACATAAGCCACATTTATTGAATAATGAAATAATAAAATAAATAAAATAATAATAAAATCCCTGCCCATTATCTATTAGTCAGTGGAAGAGCCAGAGTGTTCTGGGGGAAGGAAATGGACACATCTCCATTTCATGTTCTATATTTAATCAATTCAATTCAGTACCATACTGAGCTCAACGTTTTTTTAAGTAGAAGCAGACTTTACAAAATATTTATAAGTTTATTCCCTATATTCAGGGGAAGTGCACTATTTCATTGAAACAATACCACAGCTAAGCAGTTCCAGGTTCAAGTAAGTGGCATAGTTGGCATGGTTCTAACTTTCCATGGAGATGAATCCATGGGGCCAACCAAAGCCCCACAAATACAGATTAAGGGGAGACTGACTATTTCACAGAATTGATTTGGGGGCAAGTCTGATTGGCATTGTTTAAGGTTGTTAAGAAAATGAAAGGACTTCTCATGTGATACTCTTTCTTTTTCTTTGTTTTTGAGACAGAGTCTCACTCAGTGGCCCTGAAGTTAAATGCAATGGTGTCATCATAGCTCACAGCAACCTCAAACTCTTAGGCTCAACTGATCCTCTTGTCTCAGCCTCCCCAGTAGCTGGGACCACAGCTGCCTGCCATAATGCCTGGCTAGTTTTTCTATTTTTAGTACAGATGGGGTCTTGCTCTTGCTCAGACTGGTCTTAAACTTCTAAGCTCAAGTGATCTTCCTGCGTCAGAGTGCAAGAATTACAGGTGTGAGCCACTACACCCAGCCCACATGTAACACTCAGTCGGGACCCTTGCATGTCCCTTTGGGGGGGTTCCAGGTTACTTTTTAATATGAGACTGCCAAGAGATGGGCAGCTTCAGTAAATGCCTATCATCTGTCCCAAACTCATCCTTCGTTAGTGGAAGCAACCACTGGTGTCATTGCCTTCTGCAGGATGGTAGATTTTAAAATCAAGGGCCCATGAAAAGTGATGCACACCTGCTGAGCCTCCCTCCCGAGTGGTGTGAATAGGCAGTGCCCAGGTTATGAACAAGATAGGTTCTGTAGATTTGTTTTTAAGTTGAATTTGTATGGAAGTTGGAACAGGTGCAGGCTGTTACCTATAGTAGCCTCTATTCATCAGTGTGAAGTATACCTACGTTGGATGTCAGTAACTCGGGGACTGCCCGTACTGCCATCAACAGGCCTAACTCCACTTGGTGTTTTTTCCAGGTAAAGGAAATGGCCCTCAGGACAAAGGCCTTATGTCTGTCCTTGAGTAGGGGACATGCTGGTGGGGGCTATCTACAGGACTGTGGGAGTAGCAGGAATCTAAGATCAGGTCCCCTGACGACCCCCAGGGCTGCTCCTCTGCCTGCCTGTGCTGAGCGTACCCTGGCCATAGACCCCTCCTTGGAAGGACCTCTTCCTGCTGTCATCTCCCTGTTGCCTCTCCTCAGTGCCTTCCCTTCACTGGTAAAGCTGAGCTGAGGGGCACTCGTCCTGCTTGGCCACACTGCGTCCCTCAGCCTGGGCCTTTGTTTTCTCTGAGTCAGGCATGTCCAGTTGGCTGCGGCCTCTGGTGACTTCCCTTCCCACAAACCTGCCCCAGCCCATGCTGGCCCTTTCTCCAGGAGGCACAGACAGCTGACCAGTGCTGGGCACTCCAGTCAGTGCACAGCTCCATAGCCTCTTCTTCAGCTCTCGCCTCATTCCAGCCACATCACTGAGCTCACCTTCAGCAAAAACCCGGAAACCATTTCACACTTGTGTATGATAAGCCAAGACACCCCCATTCTGAGCTTATGTTTTCGACATCACTGGACCTGACATTTATGACCACTAGTTCCAACTTTCAAGATCCAGTCTTTATTTATAACTTAAGAAGATAGTTTCAACCCCTGATTGCTGTTATCTATGAAAACAAGCCTGTCCCTTGTATTCCCCTCTGAGACAGAGGAGACCCCCCCATTTTCACAGACAGCCTCCTCAGGTCCACAGAAATCCCTTGAGCTTGTCTGTGTAATCAGTACTCAGTTTGTGTGGCCCACAAAGACAGGAGGACCTTGACCCCTACAGAGGAAATCCACACACTGCTTCACTACTTGATGGCCCTGCCCACTCACTTCCCTTCATATCTCCTGGATCCTGGCAAAATTCATTCTTCTTTTAGACTTTACAGGCATTCTGTATCATAACACAGCCTAGAATGTGTCTGTGTAGTTCTAGACCCTTCCAGTTCTAGAACACTGAGCATCTGCCATTTACCACCTGTTTAACAAGCTCCGCGT